ACACGGTTTAGGCAAATAGGCACACTGACCGTAATCCCTCCGTGAGCGCCAGCACCTGCCAGACCGCCGCTTCTGCAGACGTGATATAAGTGGATGGCATCACCACCAATTACATGATCAGCACGGCTACTAGCCGCAGAGCGTGTCATGAGTCTACCGCTCACCTCAAGCGAATGGGGTCCCACGTTGTGCGGCTTTCGTCCGCAACCTTGAGAGTCTCCTCAGATCCTCCCGCCAGCTACCACCCGCATGAGGTCGACACATATGCTCCACTAACCAATACAACGGCAGATATAGCCAAAAGGCAGTTATAGGATGAGAGTAATAATTCGCCATCAGAAAGGGTTTGTGGTGTATCTATTTATTTACACACACATTTTAAGTAGCCATTTACATATGTATATAAATAACTCATTATACAGTTAAGTTTATCATACATAATCTATAGTATTCATATATATATTTTATTTACTACGCACTGCATACTTATTTATTATCACTTATATTAGTATTTTATATTATCAAGTTCCGTACGTGGAAGGCACTTTCGTAGAACCTGTTTCCTAGTCGGTCGACCGGCCGCGGTGCATAGTTTAGAAGACGCGCCTGTTAGCAACGAGACCTTTATATGTGTAAAAGCGCATGTCGCTCCTTGCTCCGTCGCTCGATTGTTAACATACAAACTTGATCCGTAAATATAAGTAGTGAAAGACTGTTATCCCATAAGTTAATTATATTATTGAACTATTAATATTATAATATCGTATCAATTTACTATCGCTCTCTTCTCCTTCTTATTTTAATAATTGTGTGTGTATATCGATCGTAATAAACTAAATTATTCAGAATCTGTGAACATTATTTAAATTACCTAGTAGTTATATGAACATTACATCTTACATAACCACACTGGTGACCCCTAAGGAACACTAAAATAAGTGATAGCAGTGATTCAGTAAAAACCGCGGGATCAACGGCAAAGACAGGGAAAGTGACCATGCGGCGTGCTCAACGTGTGCACATCCCTACAGATGATGAACGTGACAAAATGGTGGATGAACGTAAAATTAAGATAAAGGTGCCACCATTTTCTCCAGATGACCCGGAGATTTGGTTTGCACTATTAGAAAGCCAGTTTGAGAACGCTAATATAAGTGACGACGCTACAAAATTTACCAATGTAATAGTAAATTTAGATATTATATATGCTAAAGCGGTGAAAGATATCATCATAAATCCTCCGGCGTATAACCGCTACAACAAGATAAAAACGGAGCTAATCAGGCGTCTATCCTCGTCTCACGAGAAGAAGGTAAAGCAATTACTTACGCACGAAGAGCTCGGGGATCGAAAATCTTCACAGTTTTTTCGGCATCTGATGGACCTAGCGGAACCTTCCGTGCCAGAAGAATTTATTAGAGCTATATGGAGCATCCCAACCGACCCATTCACTAGAGCAATTGGCTGACCTTGCAGACCGTATACAGGAAATCACAACACCCTGCAACGTAGCCGACCTGTCTTCCAATGCTGCAGTGGCTCAACCTGCCAATGAAATTGCTGAGCTGAAGAAGATGGTGAAGCGTCTAGCGCTAAAGCTAGATGAGCACATGAGCTCTAACCGAAGGTTCAGCAACATATCCAGACAACAACGACGTCGATCGACCTCACGTCGGCGTAGACGGTCTAACTCCAACTATAATAAGTATCCTTTATGCTGGTACCACTCAAAGCATGGGGCAAATGCTCGGTGGTGTGTAAAGCCTTGCGACTATCAGCCGGCGGGAAACTACGCGGGCAATCGCTAATGGTGACGGACGACAGCCCAGCTTCGATGTAGTTAAAGACAATCGGTTTATATTTGCGACTATAGGACATAAAGCTACATTTAGAAGGGTTCAAATTTAAGAAGTTTAGGTGGCAATAATGCTCTAGATTTGACAGATCTTCTGGTAGAGCCTCAGCATCCTCGATTGATGTTATTTTCATAAATAGCTTCATATCATCGGCAAAACATAATAAGCGAGCTTTCTTCAGAAAATAGGTAATGTCATTGATAAAAATAACAAATAATAACAGACCCAGCAGTGAGCCCTGTGGCACCCCAATTGGAACAGTTACCCATCCTGATATGTAATTGCTGACGACAACAGCTTGTGATCGATTATTTATATAAGACGTAAACCACCTAAGCAGATCGCCGTTTATACCGATCTGGGACAGTTTCAGCAATAGCAAATTATGATGTATTCTGTAAAAGGCTTTACTATAATCGGTGTAAACGACATCTACCTTGTGGCGATTGTCCATTGCTTCAATCAAATATGCATTAAAGAGCGCTAGATTTGAAACAGTAGAGCGTCCTCTTAAAAAAATCCATGTTGAGTCGGATTGAATGAATGCTTTAGGGCCGCGTATAATTGATTATATATAATTCGTTCGAACACTTTAGATACAATACATAACATGGAAATCGGTCGATAATTAGTAACTTCGGTCTTGGAACCCTTTTAATGTACAGGCGTGATAAATGCACGCTTCCAGATGGTAGGAACAATACCTGTACTAAGGGACTTTTTATACAAATTATATGCGCACATTTAATAAGAAAGTGAGCCTGAATGTTATTGGAACCAGCAGATTTCGTTTGATCCAACGTCTTAAGCAGGTTTTTGACTGTATTTTCGTTTATATCAATTGAGGTGATATCTACACTCGACTGAGGCAACACTAGATAATCATTATAATTATTTTTAGACAGCTGAGTATTACTATCACCCGAAACCAAAAAATTTGAACGAAAATAGTTTGAAAAAGCATTACAGATAAGTTCGCCAGAGTTAATTACAGAACCTTCAAATTTGAGACCACAAGGTATTGAATGTGATTTTGATTTTATTTTTAATATACGACCAGAAGTGTTTCGGATTTGCACTAATCGAATTTTCCACAGAGGTTATGTAAGATTGGTATGCTAACTTTTCTAATTTACTTACACGCTCCCGCAATAGCTTAAAAGTTTCATTGTCATGCCTACAGCCATAGATCCTAAATTTACGTAAAAATTTATGTTTTTCTTTAATAGCTTTTTTTAAATGGTGATGTATACCATTTGGGATAAGTGTCGGCAAGAATTAATTTTGAGGGGATATATTAATCTCTAAGTAACGTGAGTGTGCTATAAAAATATTGAACAGATTCATTTAAGGATAACGGAGACATAAGGTCACCCCTTTGGATATTGGCAATCTCACCATTTAATGAATAATAGTCACCTTTATGATATAAGAACTTAAGGCGAAAATTGCTATTTAATGAGTCACAATCAACGTTATCAAAAGATATTAAAAGGGCACCATGATAAGGATCAACAGGAATAAGAGAATCCCCACTTAAATCACGAACGGTTACAGCTTCACTAGAAAAAACAAGGTCAAGAATCCTGCCATGGGCATTTTTTATACCATTAAATTGTCTCAAATTTAGTGAGCTTAATTCATCTATTAATAAAATTTCATTTCCCGAACGAATATTTGTACCTAAAAATGAACCGTCGGCGGCGTTGATATCAGGCACCCATATAATATCACTAATATTAAAGTCGCCAACTAATAAAAAGCTATCGTCCGAGTGACTCATGACAACTTCGCTGACCGAGTGCAAATAATTTTGAAATTGAGCAGTAAAACTGAGACCCCGATTTTCGCTACACAAATATAAGATACAAATATGCAAGTTCTTGTGATTTTTACGGGTAGTATGGTGAATACACAACGTTAACCAAAGGTCCTCAGCACTAGAATGAAAGGAAGGCTGCGGGATAGCTTCTAGATCTTTACGCATCGCAATCAAAACACCACCACCATATTTCTGACCAGTAACTGTGTAATTCCTATCACGCCGCCATACAACGTTTCGATTATCAAATAATTCCGTATCACTAATTCTATCCAGGAGCCATGTCTCCGTAATTAATATTATATCATAATCACGTAAAAGAATATTAAGATAAAATATGTCGGTTTTAGTGCGCAAGCCTCTTGCGTTCTGATAATATATTCTTAGGTTGTCACGCCACACTCTACAAGTACACTATTATTATGTAGCATAGCCATTTTTAAGCCTACCAATAACCAAGATAATTTTACTACAATAAAGGAATATATATCTCCCGTCATATTTCAAAAACTCGTTAATAAAATTAGAAAACAATATACCAATATTTAAAAATTCACTGAGACTATAATAAGTTAGCATATAATATTTACAAACGGGTAGAAAAAATAAAACTGTATCATCTAATGACTGCAAAATATGATGCATACTTAAGCAACCGTCAACTGAAGCAAGCAACTGATAACAGATAGGCAATTTTAACAAATAGCGATGCGTCAACAAAGCAGGTAAGGCAGGTGTAACAAGCATTTTGTAACTTTTTAAAAACACCTTCGTAATTCCATAAAAGCAAAAGTTAATTATACAGAGGTAAGAATTGTTAATAAAATTAAAAGAAGTAATGTAAAGAGACATTAATAAACAATAGATTAAGCTATTTTGTTTAAATCAGCCTCTTTAGTAATAATTAAAACCGGCGAATTATCATTTTTTACGAACATGAATTTTTCCGTATTTGACCCAGATATAAGAATAACTTCGGTCTTTTGCTAAGGTCCTTGTTTTGGTAAGAAGTTTTTTGTGCTCTGGAGTCAAATGATCATTTACGAAAACGCGTTGACGATTGCCTCCAAATCCAACATCCTACGGCTCTAGAGTTTTGCAGGCGCGTGCAGCTGCTTCAAATTCTTCTTTGACATAACGATTTATGAAATTGATAATGATGGCCTTCTCTTTGGTATTAAGCATTGGTACACGGGATATGTAATTGATTTGAGATTTTTGGAATTCATACCCAACTCTTTTACCCAAAGACTCCGCAATTACAAATAGGTTTTCATTGGGCTTTAGGGGGGTGCCTTTACCTCAACATTACTCAGCCGTGATCATTGTTCGTTGGTCTCAATAACACTTTTAAGATTAGTTATTTCCTTGTCGGCCACAGCGAGAGAATTTTGGATCTTTTCTATCTGAGATAGACCACGCTCCAAACTGGAGACTTGGTCTTGAAAAGATTTAAGTGAACTACTATTGTACTCACAAGACTCCTTCAGATGGATTAATTCAACTTTAATAGATTTGATGTCTTCGATAAGAATTGGAACTGTTGTGACCAGCTTCTTCATCTCACGAATCTCCTTAAGAATAACATCCAAGGTCGCTGACTCACCACCAGAATTTCCACCAGGGGTGGCTTCAGAACTTGAATGGGAGGGGCTGAAGGAAACCTTTTTGCACTGAAGGTATTTCCATTGTGCTCTTTGATCTGCTCCTAAGTTCCGAAAACCTTGCTCCATTATGCCAGCACAACCAAAGTAGTAGTGTTTTTTACAAACATAACATTGCGCTCCATCATTGAACTCATTTGAACATGATTCACAGATATTCATCGTTGAAGTAACAGTATCAATGACTACAGTTACGAAAAAAAAGGTTGGTGATATATGTTGTATGTCGTATGATGTAGATAGTAGCTACGTAAACAAGAGTGCAAACGTATAGCTATACGCATGCGCCTGTGTCGTGCGCTCACTGCTCACTGACTGTGCTCACTGACTTTTGGCAACCTCTTGCTTTCTTTTCGCGCAAGCTAAGTCCTTCCCAAATGAAGTACTCACCATATGACCGTGAGCTTTTGGCAATATATGAAAGCATAAAATACTTTCGGCACATGCTAGAGGCCAGGCACTTCGTAGCATATACTGACCATAAGCCGCTCAGTTACGCTTTTCATGATAGGAAAGTCAACTGTTCGCCTCGTCAGAACCGCTACCTCGATTACATCTCGCAGTTCACGATCGATATCCGTCATATTTCGGGCAAGGATAATGTCGTGGCTGACACCTTGTCGCGAATCGAGGAACTGCAGATGCAAATCGATCTAGATCTACTTGCCAAATCCCAAGCCTCTGATACGGAACTAACTGATATCTTGAACAGTAAATCTTCACTTTCAATGCATATAGAACAGTTTAAGCTTTCGAACAGTTGCTCGGAATTATATTGTGACGTGAGTACACCGTCACCTAGACCATCTGTGACAAAGCCCTTCTCTCATCAAAAACAACTATTCGATAGTCTTTATAATCTAAGCCACCCAGGCGTCAGTGCGTCAACCAAACTTGTAGCGGAGCGATTCATTTGGCCTGGGATGCGTGAAGACTGTCGAGAGTGGTCACGGAACTGTCTGGCGTGTTAACGTGCAAAGGTGCATCGCCACGTGTCATCTCCTTTCGGTACATTCGATATACCCAAGGCAAGTTTTTCTTTTATCCATGTGGATATAATAGGCCCTCTGCCCCCATTACAGGGAAATGGCTACTGCCTCACCATTGTGGACCATTTCACACGCTGGCCCGAAGTCTCGCCAACGGTCGATATGAGAGCTGAGACCGTTGGAAAGGCTCTGATATCGTGGATATCCAGATTTGGATGTCAGCAATAATGTGTCACGCAGACAGTAACTGGGTAGACACATTACCTTTAGTACTGTTGGGTATTAGGTCCTCTTATAAAGAAGAGCTAAAAGCTTCATCGGCAGAATTGGTGTACGGAGAGCCCTTACGTCTTCCAGGACAATTTTTCCAACCAGTTGCTTTGGATAACACCGATGTATCAGATTATACCACACGCCTTCGACAGCTCACCCAGAAGCTATCACCGACACGACACACGTCACAGTAAAAACAACATCTTTATACATAAAGATTTAAAAGTTTCAACGCACGTATTTTTGCGAGACGATACATTAAGAGGTGTATTGCAACCTCCATATTCTGGCCCTTACGAAGTGGTCGAACATGGGGATAAAATATTTAAAACATTTCATATTCCAAAAGGGAAAGCTGTAACAGCATCGATAGACCATCTTAAACCATCCTATATACTGACAGAACCCTAACCTAATTCCATCCTTACTTTTTATCCTCAACCTTTCCCTAAAGGGACAACTGTCCCTAAACCGTCAGAATTAACCGATCTAGCACCAACACCTGTCAAGGAAAACGTAAAACGTACGCGTTTGGGATATCTATTTATTTACACACACATTTTAAGTATCCATTTACATATATATATATATTATTTACTACGCACTGCATACTTATTTATTATCACTTATATTAGTATTTTATATTATCAAGTCCCGTACGTGGAAGGCACTCTCGTAGAACCGGTTCCGTGGTCGGTCGACCGGCGGCGGTGCATAGTTTAGAAGACGCGCCAGTTAGCAATGAGACCTTTATACGTGTAAAAGCGCATGTCGCTCCTTGCTCCGTCGCTCGATTGTTAACATACAAATTTGGTCCGTAAATATAAGTAGTGAAAGACTGTTATCCCATAAGTTAATTTTATTATTGAACTATTAATATTATAATATCGTATCAATTCTCTGTCGTTCTCTTCTCCTTCTTATTTTAATAAGTGCGCGCGTGCGCGCGTGTGCGCGTGTGTGCGTGTGTGTGTGTGCGCGTGTGCGCGTGAGTGCGTGTGTGCATGTGTGCGTGTTTGCGTGTGTGCGTGTGTGCGTGTGTGCGTGTGTGCGTGTGTGCGTGTGTGCATTTGTGCGTGTGTGCATGCGTGCGCGGGCGCGTGCGCGTGCGGGTGCGCTTGCGCGGGCGCGTGCGTGTGCGTGTGCGTGTGCGTTCGCGTGTGCGTGTGCGCGTGTGCGTGTTCGCGTGTGCGTGTGCGTGTGCGTGCGTGTGTGCGTGCGCGTGCGCGCGTGCGCGTGTGCGCGTGTGCGCGTGTGCGCGTGTGCGCGTGTGCGCGTGTGCGCGTGTGTGCGTGTGCGCGTGTGCGCGTGCGCGTGCGTGTGCGCCTGCGCGTGCCTGTGTGTGTGCGTGTGCGTGTGCGTGTGCGTGTGCGCGCGTGTGTGTGTGTGTGTGTGTGTATCGATCGTAATAAACTGAATTATTCGGAATCTGTGAACATTATTTAAATTACCTAGTAATTATATGAACATTACATCTTATATAACCACAGGTTTGTGTTACTGACGTTGAGTAAATGCATTTTCGATCATGTTTGATTCACCCACCAACAAGTTGCCTTCAATCATTCAAAGGTGGTAAAGTTACAGAGACATATTATTATGTTGTTATATAAAACATGATGGAGGTCAGACAGTCTGCAGCCCCGTAATGAAGCGACCCGACTTGGGCAAAGCTACTAAGGGGTGAGTCAAACCAAGAAGAAGAGAGCACCATTGAGAATAGCGTCCCACCAACAACAATAACAACCATCGTAGAGACGCAATGCTGCAGAACGCAACAAGCATCAAAACGACTATCGTTGGGCTTACACCATCCCAAGGTCCCTCATACTTTCCAGCAGGCATCACCACCCGCATACCTCCATCGACCAGAACCACAAGAGTGCGTCGAATCAGGTACAGCACACCCGCAGATCCATCACAAGACGCAATACCGCAAGAAGCAGTAAGCATCAATGCAACTATCATACGGATGGCGCTCCCTCACAACACCCTCACATGATCTCTATCGACTTTGGTAACAAAGCTTGTATTGTTGTTACCTAAAAAAAATCACCAACGTATTGTTACAAGCTTGAGGTTCGTGACAATAAAAACCGCCGATTGAATTACCAAAATTTACACTTTTATTACCGAACACCAATTAAAACATAAAACACTAATAATTTATCACACTGATTCACTGTATTTCGCTCCGAAGCTTCGCTTGTCTAATCAAATTCAATACTGCCACGATTGCGGCATGCAGCGTGTTTAAATACACTTTTACGCCGAAACATTCAGAATATTCACGTAGATACGGGCGCCGACCAACGAGAAGCAGATAGTTCGAGCGTGATTGCCTGACGTGTTCATAAATGACATTCATTTTGTTCTGCAAGTCATTAGCATAATCGGTTATACTGCGTGGGGCATCAGGTGGTATCCCGGTGATCAGGTCTGCAGGCAGCCGTAATTCTCTTCCAAAGTTTGCGAAAGCTGGTGTCACTGATGTACTTTCGTGAACAGCGCTTCGATATGACAACAAAAATGGTTGTATGTGCTTGTCCCAATCTCGTTGCCGGTTGTCTACAACTTTTTGCTAGGTACCTCTCCAATGTCTGATTAAATCGTTCTACCATTCCATCAGATTGCGGGTGATAAGAGGTCGTTCTTGTTTTATGAGTACCCATAACTTGATAAGATTCCTGAAATATTTGAGACTCAAAATTCCTTCCTTGATCGCTGTGAATCTCTAAAGGTATTCCAAAACGACAGAAGACTTCATGAACTAGTTTATCTGCAACTCTTGAACTAGTGACACTTACACAACACTTAGTGAAGTAATCCATCACAACCATGAAATACTTGTTACCGCTTTCACTCTCCGGAAACGGCCCCGCCACGTCGATGGCTATTCTCTCCCATGGTACACCAACATTGTACAACTTCAATGCACCTCTACTACGAGTCTGAGGTCCCTTTACAGCTTTTAGTGTTCGAACTCATCGCTAAGACTGTAACGCTCCACTTACCCTTAAACAAGTTAACTTCGAGTAAGAAGGGTGGACCACCTTTTGCCTGATCTGCCGAAGCTGATGCTGCCTTCAAGAAACTTAAGGAGTGTTTAGTTTCCGCTCCTGTTCTTTCCTGCCCTGACTACGATAAGCCATTCGAAGTACACACCGATGCCAGCAATTACGGCGTGGGTGCGATGCTGACGCAGACTATAGATGGTAAGGAGCACCCCGTTGCTTATATGAGCAAGTCGTTGTCAGCAGCAGAGAGGAACTACAGTATAACGGAGCGTGAGACATTATCTGTCATCATCGCCCTGGAGCACTGGAAGTGTTACTTGGAGAACGGTAGGCCATTCACTGTCTATACTGATCACAGTGCGTTAAAATGGTTTCTGTCTCTCAGGAACCCTACCGGTAGATTAGCTCGCTGGGGTGTAAGATTGTCCTCATTTCATTTAGAATTCAAGCATCGTAAGGGTGTGGACAATGTGATCCCCGATGCCCTCTCTAGAGCTCTTCCCGTCTCGGCGATTAGTACTTCCGGTTCGAACATGGTGACATCGGATTCTTGGTACAAAAATATTTATAATTCTTGCCTTTCTAAGCCGCAAACTTTCCCGAATTTCATTATCAAGGATGGCAAGTTATTCAGGCGTGCCAAGAATAATCACTCACTTTCATCCGAGTTCTTATGGAAGGAGGTTGTACCTTTTGAGCTACGCGAGCAGGTGATCAACGAGAATCATGCGGAACCCACGGCTGGACATCTCGGCGTTTTTAAAACATACCATCGTATTGCCTTGCGCTA